CATTTTATCCCGCCGGCCTTTTGGTTGCGACTGTCTGGCCCAGGGGTAGGCCACCTTGGCTCTTTTATGACTCATGGACTTCAACTCCCAGAATTCCTGAGCCAGCATGGCTCAGCTTGGAAACCTCTCCCTTTCCCCTCAGCATGGCTGGCTCAGGAATTCTGGGAATTGAAGTCCACGAGTCATGAAGGGGCCATAGTTCCCCCATGCTGGCTCAGGAATTCTGGGAGTTGAATTCCACGAGTCATAAAAGAGCCAAGGTTGCCTACCCCTGAACTAGACAGTAGAATGGAGTGGGCAGACGGCCCCAAAATAAGTCCCAATGCGTCTTTTAGTCCCCCCCAAAATATAAGACCCGGTCCTATTTTCGGGGAAACACGGTATATGCCAGGGGTAGGCAACCTTGGCTCTTTTATGACTCGTGGACTTCAACTCCCAGAATTCCTGAGCCAGCACGGCTCAGCTTGGAAACCTCTCCCTTTCCCCTCAGCATGGCTGGCTCAGGAATTCTGGGAGTTGAAGTCCACGAGTCATAAAAGAGCCACGGTTGCCTACCCCTGGAATATGCCATGATAATTGCATTCTTTTTTTTTTGAAGGCAACTATTTTTCTTTCAATTTACACATGTATTGGATTTTGTCTCATTATTAATCACACAGCGAGATTGCCCCCAGAACACAAGCTATCAGGAAAGGAAAGTAAATCGAGAAGCTGTTTCAAACCACAGGCAGTCCTCGCTTAAACGACAGTAATCGGGAATGGAATTTCTATCGCCAAGTAATGTGATTAATTAGAGCAGGGCTTTTCAACCTTTTCACCCATTGTACCACTTTTAGGATATGGCAACATCCGAGTACCACCAGTCGCCTAGCAAGGTGTCAAAAACTTGATGACCAAAAAAAAAAAAAGGAAAAAAAGTGATAAAGTACAGGTAGTCCTCGACTTACAACAGTTCGCTTAGTGACTGTTCCAAATTACAATGGCACTGAAAAAAGTGCCCACCAAGGCACAGCCGAGCAAGACACCTGCCTGCCCACCCGGCGGCACTCTTCCTCCTGTCCGAGTTTTTCATTGTTGTGAGCATTTTTGTTGAGCATTGGAGCGGAGGTGGGGTGGGGGTGGGGGGTTTGGTTTTTATTCCCCCCGTCTGCTGGGTGGTTGCCGCAGGTTTTGGTCACTTGACATGACCCTGGGACACTGTGACCGTCATAAATATGAATCAAGCATCTGAATGTAAATCACAAGACCCTGGAGATGCTGCAACATTCCAGCTGATTGGTGCTTCTTTTGGGCTCAGCAGAAGCGCCAGGATCAGCGCCGAGCTCCAGCTGGAGCCTGGTGCTGATCCTGGTGCTTCCGCTGAGCCCTGACAGCCCTGCAGCTCCAGCCATCTCTCGCTCAGGCTTGTGCGGTGCTGACACCGGTTCAGCTCATTCCCCTCCCCCGCTACCACTTTTCTAGGATGGTCACGTACCACCTGCCAGGTGCCCATGTACCACAGGTGGTACCCGTACCACTGGTTGAAAAGCCCTGAATTAGAGGGCAAAGTGAGTTACATGACTTGTCAGTCTCTGATTACGGTTGTTAAGCAAATCAGCGAGTGTCAGTAAGTGAAGGGCCCGTATGTGAGCCGAGGTGGCGCAGTGGTTAGAATGCAGTACTGCAGGCCACCTCTGCTGACTGCCGGCTGCCAGCAGTTCGAGTCTCGCTGGCTCAAGGTTGACTCAGCCTTCCATCCTTCCCGCGTTGGTAAAATGAGGACCCAGATTGTTGGAGGCAAATATGCTGACTCTGTAAAGCGCTTAGAGAGGGCTGTGAAGCGGTATATAAGTCTAAAGGCTATTGCCGTCTTCTGACTTCCTGCTGGCTTCCCCTATGATTTTGCTCACAGGAAGCCAGCAGGGGAAGAGTTAGGGTAAATTGTGATCGCATGACAATGGGATACTGTGACGGTCGGAAATCTGGGTCGGTTGCCGAGCACCGATTGTGATCAGGTGATTAGGGGATGCTGCCACCAGTTATAAATGCAAGCTGATTGCCAAGCAACTGAAATGTGATCACATGACCATGAGGTAGGGCAGTGATGGCGAACCTTTTAGAGACCGAGTGCCCCAAAACCACCCCGATCCGACCCCGCTCTGCCCCACCCCCACCCACCCACAGGGCCACCCACCGCCTCCACGGCCTGCTGCAAGATATCGCCCAGGCGGCCCTGCAGCACCATGGCGGCCACGCCCTCTGCCTGCGCCCCGCAGCATCATCTGTGCGTGACGGGGTGTGAGGGCGGAATCTTGTCCCTGCTGCCCAGCTACCATATTCTTGGCTGCGTTGCTCCGTGCAGGCCGTGCTCGGGGGCGACTCTTCTCCGGGGGGGCTGCTGGTGAGGAGGGGGCTGCGGGGGGAGGCAGGGCTGGGGCAACAGCGCGCGTGCCCACAGAGAGGGCTCTGAGTGCCGTCTCTGGCATGCGTGCCATAGGTTCGCCACCACTGGGGTAGGGGAATGGCACATTTTATGACAACCAGAAGTGTTTTAGGGCAGGGGTCCCCAACCCCTGGACCGCAGCCCATTTGGAATCGGGCCGCACAAGTGGCAGGCGAGCGCACGCCTACTCCTCGCACAGAATCATTTCGTCTCCCATCCGCCACCTGTCTACAAAGCCGGAAAGGTTAGGGGTCCACTGCTTTAGGGGCCATAATGCACTCTTTCGTGTGGCTGTTATAGCTCTCAATGGTCATTACTGTAATACATAAACCAATTAAATGAATCGTTGAAGGTAAAGTATCGGAGTACAGATAATACTGCCATCTACCACTATATGAACCAATTATTCCCCTTCCTGATCCAGGACACTAATTGGACCATCCCACCCTTCTTTTTTCTCAACTTCACTTACCTTTTTGTCAATTTGGCGCTATACGGCTGTGGTCAAAATAATTGTATTGCAGTCCAGGCTCATCTGAAGGGGAGTGGGAGGGGGCAGAAAATACAAATCTCTGGTTATAAAACGAAGCCCACTGTCATGGTTCCGACAGATGAAGCTCTTCAAAAGAACTTCAAGGCATTGTTTACCTTAAAGAATCTTTTATTCGAGAAACAAAGTATCGGCACTACATAGTCGAAACCAAAAATTAAATTCCCCTCCCCTGGATACAAAGTATCAAAGCACAATTCCCTCCTCCAATAAACAGTCATAAATCACATTCCCCAATTAGCTTGAAGCGCAGGCTTTCTCCCCAGCTCTCCAGCCCGCCAAAACTCTTATCAACTCTGGGCCCAATGACCTTGGGTTCCCACAGCTGAGCTATTATTGTTATGACTAGCTGGAGTCTCATCCACATTCCCCCCTCCCAGCATCAACTAACTCTAAAAGCAATAGACAAAAATGGCTACATTTCAATCTGTTGTCAAAGCAAGAACATCCGATGTTAGCAGCGTTTGACACCCACATTAGAAAACTCGCAGAATCCCTCCGAAGCCAGGCAAGTGGGGCTGGAGACACACAACAGAACGCATTCAGCGTTCTGTGCGATTCAGCTTTGGATCTCAATGTGAGTCTCAATTTCAGCTCAAGTTGCTTTGTCACAGTCACACACAACCCCAGCAGCCCCCCCTCCCCCCATCTCTGAGTAAGCACAGAATATTATGATCGATTTTCACAGAGATATTTTTTTTCCCCGAAGTAGCTGGGAAGATTCGGGTAGAGAGGAGGAACTAAAAAAAAAAAAAAGATATATATTTTTTTCTCCCTTACCACAGCACTGGTGATTTCTTCCATGGAGAGGTCGGGCGGCCCAGCAACAAAACCTGAGAACGCAGAAAGTTAATTCAGTGGGAAGTTTTAAACAGCTTAAAGGACTTTCTAAGTGGGTGACAATGTGGGCGTGAAGGGAAGAACTGGAAGACCTGGATGTTACGCACAGCGTCAGCCCTGCGAGGCGGTTTAGACAAGAAGCCAAGAAGCGCAATCAGATCTGCTAGCTCTCTCTTCATTCTAAGATCACTTAGAACAGTGGTTCTCAACCTGTGGGTCGGGACCCCATTTGGGGTCGATCGACCATTTCATGGGGGTCGCCAAGCAAGGCTGTCCGCCATTTTTTTTGTCCATTTTTCCCCCCCTTTTCCGGCGGGGGCCTTACCTCCCTTGGGCTGGGCCAGCTGGTGGTCGGCCTGCTCCGTCTCTGCCGCTTGCCAGCTACGCCTTGGCCGGCGCAGGGGGCGGAACCACGCATGCGTGGCGCTCCCGGGCAGGGAAAGTCCTCGACCTACGACCGGTTGGGTAGTCCTCAACTTACGACCGGTTTAGTCCTCGACTTACGACCGGTTTAGTCCTCGACTTACGACCGGTTGGAGTCGCGGCATTAAAAAGGTTGAGAACCACTGACTTAGAATGAATCTTGCAAGGCTGAAGGCACTGAGGGACCGTCTCACCCCACTGGGATTGGCCTGTCCCACTAGAGCCGGCAGAGGAGGCATGCTGCGGGTCCCCTCGGCCCAATTATTCTGGCTGGCGGGATTCAGGAAGGCCTTTTCTGCTGCTGATCCTGCTCTCTGGAACATCTTGCCCCCTTCCCCCCCATGTGAAGTTGGGCCTGACCCTCATATCCTTTCGTAAGGGCCTAAAGTCCTGACTACCAGTTGACCTGCCCCTCCAGTGGGAGAAGAGCAGAGTGGAGGTGGCTGATTGAATAGCAAGGGATCCTACCTTCCCTTCACTCTGCTCCCTCTCTCCACACTTTAATATTTGGTTTTGATTTACTTATGTTTTAATGTATATGTACATTTTTATGACTGTTAGCTGCCCTATGACCGTGGCCCTTTTATGACTTGTGGACTTCAACTCCCAGCACGCTGGCTCAGGAATTCTGGGAGTTGGAAGTCCACGAGTCATAAAGGGGCCATGGTTCCCCCATCCCTATCCTACAGGATCTCACCTGCGTGGGTCCTTTCGTGCTCTGCGAGAAGAGACCGCTGACTGAAGCTTTCCGTGCATTCGGAACAC